GCTACTACTACTACTACTACTACTACTACTACTACTACTACTACTACTACTACTACTACTACTACTACTACTACTACTACAAGTTGGTTAAACAATTGAAAAAGAAAGATTAATAAACGACTTTGTAAAATCTTACCGTGTCATGTGTAGGTATATCTTTGAGCAAGTACTTCTACTGGGCGTGATGTTGTGTTGTAGAAGGGGGAAACTATCAAAGCCGCGCAATATCAGAGTCGAACAGTTTTTTAAAAGCCATATCGATACAATTAGATTACCGATTCCATCCAATGGTTGCAGTCCCCTTGACAAATTACTCAGTACAGTCCCCATCCAAATATATTTGTCTTTCTGGTGACTTCCTGACTATTTCTAAATTGAAACTAACAATACAGACCAAACAGAAAGGCAATTCCACCAGAAACAAGAAGGTAGAATGTGTTGCAAGCAAATTTACGCTGGTGAGCAAGTCTCTTCCATTTTTATCCTGAATGAGTAAGAAAATGCTACGCCAACACTTTAAAGATTGCCCCTGTCCGGTAGATATATATATTTATACTTGAAAAGCCAATTCATTCAATACAAAATCTAATTGAAGTATGCTGGTCCAAAGCCCAGTAAAACGCAGTGGGTACTTATTAAAAAGCAAGTGTTGATGACACGGGGAACAGATGGGTGGTCACTGGGGTGTGTCCTTGAGCAAGACACAACAACCCTAGCTCAAATTATAGGGCGCTGCACAGTGGCGACCGACAGTGGCATTGTTTGTTAACTGTTCTGTATTTGTGTAATAGTGTGTATTTATGTATGTAGTCATGCATGTATGTATTTATGTATGTACGTATTTATAATTATGTATTTATGTATGTATGTTTGCCATTGTAAAACGAAGTGCCCTTCTGAGACAAATTAAAGTGTAATTTATTTATTTGTTTATTTATTATTATTTTAAAATTATTGGATGGTATTGGTTTTAGTAATGGCAATCTAATAGTATCGATACCCTCAAAAAGTGCGCGGCTTTGATAGTTTTTTCTCGAAAGTGCGCGACTCTGATGTTCTCCCGCAGAAGGAGCACTACTTATTGTATATTATTACGTATCATGACATTCTATTATATAAAAGACACATTAATTTAAGAAACCCTTGTCATAAAAAACTCCCCATCACATCTATAGTAAGATATATCCTTGTAACGTCCTATATTTGGAACGTATTAATTGACTGTTTCTCTCCCTTGGAGCATAATGTCAAAGAAGTCAAGATCTGAAGAGACGGATGTAGATCTAGTACTTAGACATTCTACTGCCCACTGGCCTATGTCTTCCGCCTAAACAAAGCTATATGATGCACACTGCTTTAGTCATCAGCGATATCGATGTACGGCCGAAAAATAGGCCTTCTCAAAGATAGTAAACGAGGTGTCTTAAAACAAGCCAATGCTATAATGTTGGCACACATTTGCTGTTCGTTTTCTTGCTCGCTTGTGTTGATTTCTTTTATTTGTTTCATAAATTACACACACACACACACACACACACACACACACACATACACACACACATACACACACACACACACACACACACACACACACACACACACACAACTCGTTGAATGTTGCTTTAGATACATGTATTGCTATAATAGGGTTTATTTGCTTCAAATTCAAAGATATCATGTTTGTCTGTTCTCTGGCATGGTTTGCATAGATAATCACATGTTATTACCTTTAATTTAAAATATAGGCTTATTTTTACAACACGATTGACACAATTCGCATCAATTAAGGGGCTGGCTTAGAGGCCATGTCTATCAGGACCAACCCGCTCTGAGAGAGATAGTTACAACGTTCAAGCGAAAAGACCGAGATACTCGATAAAAATGTACCACCAGTCGGGAATCAAACTCGCGTCTCCTGCGTTCGGCAATGATGCGCTTAGCCACCTCATCGCTGACGAAGGTGTTTGGTTTCTGTCTAGGTAATAACAGTATTGTCATTCAGGTACATAAGTCGATTTATTTTCTGTTTGTTAGTGTCAATATCGTTGCAAAAGCGTAAGCAGCCTCGTCCGGGTCACAATTTTGGCCGCACTCAGGGAACATGGCCTCGCTGGGGGTACTGAAACGGCCGCGGTTAGGGAGTATGGCCGTGGTGTGGTACTTGAGATTAGACCCCAAAAATGGCATCTTTTGTGCATTTTTTTCACCCCAACCGTTCAAGAGATCTAACACTAACATGATCACACGGAGACTTTTTAAACCAGTCATAGCAAGATTAAAAATGTATTGTATTCATAGTCTCACAAGGTGATTCTCGTGGTTGAGAGATTGCAGTATGCACCTCTCATTCAATAGGTCCCGGGTTCAAAACCTGACAGAGACGGAAAATTGTTCTCTAAAAATGTCTCCCTTTTACCTCCATGTTCTGCCGTTTGCTTTCGTTTCCAATTTCTGCCACATCACCCTCCTCTTTGCCCCAACTTCTGGGCCCCTGTCTCTTTCTGCTGCCTTTCAACTGCTACTCCTTTGCTCCTTCTTACTGCTGTCTTTCAGCCACACCCCTGATCTTACGGTAGGAAATATTTAACACCTAGCCTTTTCAAATAAGGGAGAAAAATATCGGAGATCTCGTGTGCAAAATAAAGATCCCTTGGCCTTGGCGATCCTAAAATCGATAGAAGTAGGCTTGGGCCACCACCTGGACAAAATTCAAAGATTCCTCCTAAACTTAAAATGTATAATGTGTCATGCACGCTCATGTATGACTTATGCAGTTGCGAGCACCAACAAAAAAAAAAGAAGAAAGACAAGTCCCACATCTAAAGGAAGTTCACTCACGGCGGGGTTAGCCCCTTTACTTAATAGTACTACTGCTACTACTACTACTACTACTACTACTACTACTACTACTACTACTACTACTACTACTACTACTACTACTACTACTA